TTTTGGCGTTGTGGGAGTGGCGGTTGACTTTGATGATTTTTCTTTTCACGTACTATATGCCCCCCCCGCTCGACAGCAAAATTTTTGGTAAAAAGTAGGGAAGTTTTCGGGAAATTTTGGAAAAAAGGGGCAGGAAGTTGGGGAAAATCTGATTGTAGAGGGGGGTCGTATTGTCTCGCGGCTTTTCCTGTGTTGTGCTATTTACCCCCCCCCCCCGGCCCCTCCCGTATTCGACGGCCTATTCGATGAGGTAAGCGACAGACTGGCTGGGGGGTGGGGGGGGGGGGGGGCGGTCGTACCAACTCCAAAAAAGGGCGGGGGGTCGTATAGAGTCAAACTAAAATCCCCAACCAATGATGTGCCCTGCCCCCTACCTCCCCAAATTCTTTGTCAAAACCACTCGCATCCATGGTATGCACCATATTCTAAGAAGTAGAAATCCTTGACGCATTTCCATCGTGCACCCTAATGGGATCGTCAGACAATTACATGGCGCACAGGCTTGTTTGCCCACTTTTCCTCTATTACCCGAGGAGTGCAGAAAAGCGCCGGGAACGGCTATCTATTTGCGTGACGCTTCTTCAGTGAGTTCGTAATGACAGCTCAAAACCGCTCCGTAAGCAGGTCATTTTACTAATTATGAGAAACCATGGCGTTAGCAGCGTGAACCGTTCTTTAGAATTCTGGAAAGCCGAAACGAGTGCATCTCATGATTCACGTATTCGCTCAAATAAGGTTTGCCAAAAAGCGAAGCTATTGTTGACTCGAGGTTCATGCCCTGTCTAGTCCGTGACTGCCTATTCTGTAGGCTGTACCCTTCACGCTCCAACCACTAAAAACATAGGTTGTTTGGGAACAGACAGAAGAGCGCAGTATTCACAAGACTGTATGGTGTTCAAATGGCTATGAACAGACGATGTAGCAAAAATAGGGAAAGTCGTAAATTCAAGGAGTCGGAAGCGGAAATAGGACAAAATGTGTAGAGTCTTAGGTTCGTAGTTTCCTATAAGAACGATAAGGTTTTGATCAGTTGTAATTTATTCTGCCAAAGGAATTGGTAGCTAGAAGACTTGATTGGAAATGGCTTGACGTTTCTGAGTTCCTTACTAACTATAACTAACAGCGAGTGGCATCGTTCCGCTCATTAGGTGGTGGACTTGGCTCTGAGGACGCCGATCCTTTCGAACGTCAAGCCATTTTCAACAACGTCTTCCAACTACCAACCTCTTTGGAAGATTGAATTACAAATTAAAAGTTCACAATAATGCCGAGGTTTTATGGAGAGAGAAGCTGAACACTGTTTTGATCAGTCTTTCGTTGTTGAAACGTACCACGCTGTCCACATCCACTCAAAATTCGTATGCCCTCCCTTCCAAACGCCCCCCCCCCCCCCTCTCCAGGCAACATTATTAGCGCCAAATTATCAAATGTTTCTTATAGGTCGCGACCGATTTCGCAGAACGTGATGAAGATCATTCTGGAGATGGACACATTGAGCGAAGAGTACCGCAGTGCAGGGCCACAGGTGCTTCTTGGTGGATTCAGAAGGTCTGTGTATGCAATTACAGTATCTGTTGCAGCTTTTCGATATTGCTGAAGATGTTGCGGTGTCTGATATCGAATTGGCTGAAGACAGAAGGTGGTTTTTGCGTATCAGAGAAGAGCTGATGGATCCAACACGGCATGTTGTTCGTAACTGCATGAGATTCCAGAAACATGTATGTCTTTTAGTTCATTAGCTTGTTAGATTAACCATTTCTAGAAAATAATTCAAAAATAAAAAAAACTCCAGGAGGGGGCACACTGTAAGAGTTTGTCAGCATCTTGTAAACTGTAAACATGTGAATAACTGACAAACATGTCAGCACCCTGTAAGGTTTTTATGAAGTGAAAGCAATCTGCAGACCCCTGTCATACTTGTAAAATGACTGGTCACGATTTGGAAAAGGAGATGGCGCCCCAGTGACGTTGGTCCACCTCAAAGTTATAAGCGCCAATCATTTCCTCCTCTTCTGTATTTCAAACTGACCACCCTCCCTCTTCCCGAACTTGACTTTTTTCACTTGAGACTTCTTTCTCGTGAATTTCATGGTTCAGCTGTGTCATCGGTCCCTTAACAGATTTGAAGCCCAGTTCCGCCATCATCGTATGGGAGGAGTCGGTCCTACCATTGTCTTGTACCTCTTGCATCGCCCCCTTCCCGCTTTACTGTATTAGAAAGGCGAGCCCCACCAGTGATGTGAATGGAATGGTAGACTAGACTCTGCTATATTATCATCGTGGATTGTGCCTCTAAGGTTCCGCTTGATCCCTGCCTGAAGTAATCGGCGCATAGAGCCCGAAAGTCTTGGCAGCGCAGCTTTGAGTTCTTAGCGCTGAGCTTCGAGTGAGTTTTGGGGCCTAGTGGTGAGTGCCTGTAGTTTCCAGCTTCCAGTGATCGCTGCTCAGGGAGAGAGCCGTAGAGACTGAGTGACCTCATCCGAGAGCACGTTACGCATTGGGGATCCCGAAAGAGGGGGTTGTACTTGGTCATTGGAGCAAGAGGCGCATTCGCCTTCAGATTCCCCTCTCTCCCTCTCCCCCCCCCCCGCCCGGTCGACGGAACAAGAGGGGCAGTTCTTCTTTTTGAGGAAAAACTAATAAAAATTCCGGAACAGTGATAGGAAGTTGGGGAAAAACTTAGGAAGATGGCAGGTAGGATGGGGTTGTGGAAAGTGTAGGTGTTGTACCGAAGGACAAACTTTGAAGGGGATCATGTTTTGCAAAATGTTTTCCCAACTGCCTTAGCTTGAGACCCACACTACGTTAATCATACCATGGGCGGCCAAATTCTCCAAAATATTTGGCCCTTGCGACTTATATTGCTTCCAGTTCTCCTCGCTCTTTGCACAACTAGGTTGCGCAAAGAGCGCATTCAGGCCTAACCGGTTGAAAACGGCTGCAAAACGATTTTTTTTTCAGATGAGCGCTCTACGTGAACGGGTTCGAATTGAACGGCAGGTCACTAGGCTACAGTACGCTTTGTCCATAGATGCACTTCAATTGAGTGAGGAATACCAAAAAAGGATTGAGGTTCGTGACAGGACCTGCTGCACTATACATTTCGATGTCATTTCGTTTGTAGGTTTTAAAAGCGCTGGATTTTGTCGATTCCACCGGCATGGTCACGTTTAAAGGTCGTGTCGCGTGTGAAATACATCATCAGGTTTGGTTTTGGCACCTTTCTGACCACTCCGTAGCCCCTCCTGTACGTCCAATCATTCCCACAAAAATCTTTTAAGGAACTGCTGATCACAGAACTGATCCTTTCAAAGAAGCTGCACGAAAGATCTCCAGCTGAAGTTGCAGCAATGTTCTCAGCAACCACCTGTCAGTACAAAGGTGGCGATGGACCGCAGTTCGACAAGGACAGTATCTTCCTTCAGGTAGGGAAGCTCTCCGTTCATGTTAAGGGGCTTAAAAAAGAGCATGGATTGCAGCTCAAGGAAGATGTACAGTCGACGAATGACTGGATTGAAGGACGTGCAGCGCTGGTGAAAGCTCGGATAGCTGACGTTGGAGATGAGCTGCGCTATGACCTCATGGAGGTCGTATATCACTGGGCCAGCGGAATGGTGTGTTTCGAATCGCATTGACCGCTTTGAAGAACATTTTTGCAAAATACGATCCATTCCTCCAAAATTTCCTCCTTTGGTACGATCTCCCTTGAAATTTCTTGCTTTAGTATGGTCCCCCTTTGGGAAGAATCTATGCGAAATTCGGCCCCTCACCCTCAAAGTTACTACTGGTGCTACACAACTTTCATACTCTGGTGCGATCCCTTAAAAGTTTCGTATTTTGGTACGGTTCCCCTTTCCCAACCCCCATCCTACCTATCATCCTAGGTTTCCGCGACTTCCACTTTTACGATGTTATTTTTGGAACGTCCCCCACTGATCCTTGAACCAGGGCCCATCATTGGTTGGGGATTTTAGTCGAGTCTGTATGACCCCTTTTTTTGGGGGGGGGGGTTGGTACGACCCCCTCCGGCCCTCTGTCCCTCCTCATCGGATTAAGTGGGGTGCGGGGCGGGGTGAAGGGAGGGGAGGGAAGGGGGAGAGGTGGCATATACTACGCATGAAACAGGAAAATCACAAAAAGTCAACCACCGCTCCTACAACGCCAAAACGTAAATACGACCCCCCTCCCAACAATGAGCAAGTACGACCCCCCCTTTTACAACGTCCGTGAAGCGAGAAAAATCAACTATCAAAATAAATTTTTCCCAGCCCAAATACGACCCCCTCTCCTGGCGGCCAAATACGACCCCCCCCCCCTGTTAGGGATTCCACAACAACAATGTGCCCTGACTGGTGTTGTGCGGGGGATATGTAGCGCCCCAGAAACAGGAAAAGCCGAGAAAGTCGACATCCGAAATATCTTTCCCAAAATTAAGTACTACCGTATCGCTCCAACGTCGAAATACGACCCCGTCGCTGGGAATCCCACGCGTGCGACTTACCTTGATTGCAATCGTCCTGTCCGCTCCCTATCCGCGATCGTTTTCTATGCGCTGAAAGCTCCACATAAAACCATCCAATTGCCGATCCTATAACCGTTCACTGTGCTTGTTATGGGTGGTCGTTAGCGGCGAGAATGCTTGTGTAATGATGTGACCCGGAAATGGGCTTACCATCACCTATTAATCGAGTTCCATGGAAGTTGGTGAACTGTGTAATTAAACATGCGGAAGAGTTAGCTATTTACAGCCTTTCTCCGAGATCATGGGGATGACGGACGCTCAGGAAGGACTTATAGTGCGATGCATCCAGCGGTTGGGTGAAGTGTGCAAGGATGTGAGGTAAGTTCGCAGTAGAGCGCCGTTGTTTTTGAGCCTCTTCAAGAGCTGGAAACCCGTGAACAGTGAAAACAAGTTCTGCCTACATTCTGCACTATATTTTTCGATATGCGCATGGCAAAGCTGCTTCATCTCATGGTAGAGCTGTGTGCTTTGCTCACCCTTTATTGCCTTAGTGGTCCGAAATAAGGCCAGTTTTCAAGCGTTTTTTCGAAGGTAAATCTCTGCTGAAATCGAAATTAGTGACCTATTCGCAGAACTGTTTGGAATCCTTGAGTTGAGAAAGTGAACCATACAAAAAAGACAGGAAAACTGTTGCGGGGAGCAGTTCGACGACGGGAGGCGGGCGGGGGGGGGGGCATTTTGCACTTTATCTGTTTCCCATCGGCGTGTCGACCATCTAGAGAGCCATTTCGTAAACCTTACAAGAGTTGACAGGTCTTACCGTGATGGTCGACGAGTTTGCTGCAGCCTCACAAGAGTTTACAGGTTTGATCATAGTGAGACTTGTAAGCCGGGAGAAAGTGCCAATTTTCCCCCCCCCCCCCCCCCCTCGGTGCCGAACTGCGCCCTGTAGCTGTGTCTACCATTTTCCTCGCGCGTTGTCGCGTGCAACTCAACGAAATGCGCTTTACATTTTAGAAAACAGGGTAATTTTGAGATCAGGACCTTACCTGTGGCGTTTTAGACATTTTGTTTTCCTTTTTCTCTACTGAGTCGTGGATCAGAGATCAAAAACTCGTATTTGATCCCCACTGCCATCAGTTTATCGTAGTGAACCTGGTGCCTCTGGAGGTTGGACTTCATTAGAGTGTGAAATGAGTCGCAAAAAGTCCAATTATTGGTCGTGATATGAGTTCCATTCCAAGGTATTTGCTACTGCAGGAAATGCTTGAGAATTAAGTATCGAAATTTTGCAAACCCTTATATTTTTGAACTGACAAGTGGTCAGCATCGTAAACATTATTTAGTGCTTTGACCATGTAGCGTGACGATTCGGTGCGGTGGTTGGCAGCCTCCGGACCTTTTCTCCCCCCCCCCCCCTCCCCGCCCTCCGTCCCAACTAAGCATTCCATTTGATGTAAGCTGAATCCACATAGATCGATTCTCGATGCGGAAGCAGAGTATATGGCATATTCCGAAAGGCAGTGGAGAGCATAACAATTATTCGGAATTCCCGGAGTGAGGACCATCCGGGAGGTCCTTATGAAAGACTTTGGCTGGTTTTCTTGGAATGATTTCATGATGTGGGATGAGTCAAAGTTGTCCTGAGAGCACATTAGTTCGCTTTTCATCCCGAGGAACCTAATTGACCCTAGCACTAGTTCCTGGACATTTGCTGACGCTGCATCTTTCAATGCCAGCGTAGGCGTATCAACAGGAAGATCGCTGAGAGTGGCTGTTCTGAGTCATAACTGATGGAAGTGTCTTCAAGGAAGTCATAGCGAAATAGGAACTTCAGGTCAGTTGTGGCTTCCCCTGGGTGTATCATTTATCCTTGCCGAGACCTGAATATGACAGCGAAGTCTACCACCGATAATAAGCGACTGTTAGCCAGAAAGCGGGCGTTGGGCTAGGGGGGGGGGACGAGCACTCTGAAAAGCTCCTTGTGCAAGACTGAGATTTCCTTATAAGGACGAGATTACCTTGAGAGGAGGTCGAATCGGTTCATTTCAAAGGAGCTCCTCCCCTTTTCTTCGGCCTAAAGGCAGACGCCTTCTTGCGGCAGTCTCAGTTTATCTTCTTCTTTAAATTAGGTCAGTTCGCACGGGCCAAGGAAGTTCCTTCTCCGATGCGCCCTAGCCTCTCCTCCCCCCCTCCTAGCACTTGGCCCCTTGGAACACAGCCACTGCCAGCTAAACTGACTTGACGGTCTTATCCATCAATCCTATTTCCTACTTCCTCTTGCGTCTCCGGCTGGTGATGAATGGATGCTAAAGGAATGTCCAGGGTTGAATTCTTCGGCTAGTTATATGGAGAATAGCGAAAATAGGCCACTGAAACAGGCACTTCCTAAGGATAAGCCATGTTACCCGACCTCATTGAGCAGAATCTTCTTGGCCAGCACGAATGCATGCACAGGCCATTTCCAAAAAGAGCCGATTGAGGGCGAAGACTTCGTCTTCTACACTATTCTTTATTCTTATGAGGGCATTCCATGACTATTGATTCGCTTCTGTACTTTGGACCAGAGTTTGTCACAGGTGCACAAAGTGTTCCTATCTTCTGCTGCGCTGTTATATTTCACCTGATGGAAGACCTAGTCATTTGCTGATAATGCGTGAGGCGGAGACAGCCCCTTCGCCCATCTGCCCACGTTGCTTACTCTCCTTTACTGTTACGTTTAAAAGCGAGCTCAAGCACCAGTGAGTGAAGGAATATTGGTTCCTGCTCGTCTCTCGCCGCGCGGTTTTTGTCTTCAACTACAGAAAGAATTTTAGAACATCTGTTTTCAGGAATGCGGCTCGAATTGTCGGCGATCCAGCGTTGCACGAGAAAATGGAGCAAGTGAGCGCTGCTATCAAGCGCGATATTGTGTTTGCTGCCAGTCTGTACACCAGCATGTGAACCAATGCTGACGTCACTGTACACCCTTCAGCTTTCGGCCTTTCATTGTTGTTCTGCTTTCATTTGGGTAACTACGCGGGTTATAATAAAGATTCTAGTGGCTTCATGATTGTTCATTGTGTAAGAACTATGCGACCGCCGCTACGGTTGCACGTGGCGGTCTGTTCGTCAAACGACCCCGTTGCACCCAATTACCCCTGAGGTGGCCATTGTGTGTATGGGGGGGGGGGGGGGGTGTATGAGTCAGGCTTATTCGGTGGTTAGGAGGTGTAACATGTAAGTGGCGGACGGACACAGCAACCGGTTATTGGCGACACTATGAAAGGAGCACGACGAGGCCACCCAGACCTTCCTCTCTCCATACAATTCTGTGTATTCGAGTGACGATGATGATGATGATCGCCAGCATAGTCTTACTTGGTGAGCTTTGGTGTTTACGGTCTTGTATTTTTATTTTTTAACCTTCGAAGGGCATAATTACCGTAGTGGAGCCTTCCCAGAACAGCCGTTGTGTGAATCAGGAGAGTCGAGGCACTTTCAAGAATTTGTTCGCCAACAGTTTTCCTAGTAAACTTCTTTTCAAAGTTTGCCGCTGGGCTTACTTTGATCTCTGCCGCCGTGGGCTCTGCCTGGCTTGGGAGGGGTATTTGGCACTTTTTAGCTCCTTTTGCTAGTTCATATTAACTAACAGGTGCCATTTTGATGAGACCGATAACCTCTTGGGGGCTGCGAGGGCAACCCTATTTGTTAAAAGAATTCGTAGGACTTCACAAGGTGGCCTGTACAAGCTTCACTGAGTTCCATTTGATGCCCCACCAAGCCGAACTGCACCCCGCCAAGACCTAATCGTGAGACTTATGCGTCAGATGTGCACTCTTACCTGAACCCTTTGAACTTGAGAGAGCGCGAAACTCACAGAAACCGAGAAAGGGCGCGAGGTTATGGGTTATGACCACAAACTCTTCCCTTCCATTCAGTTTAGGGTCCTAAGCAGAAATATGGGAGTAGTTTGGCTTGGTGGGGGGGGCATTTTGCTGGTTCCCCTTCGATCACTGCCTTTGTCTTCTCTGAAGACCTGTAAGTTCGTGTGAATTTAAGCAATACTAGGAACTTCGCTTTAACTCAAGAAGATTCTACAAATCCCACCAAGATGAGACGTGCAATTCACAGGATTCATCAGAAGAAACTAGAGCAAGTTCAAAATACACTCCCCCTAGGCCGAACACCGTCGAAAAGTGGAATCTGTTCAAAAGCCGCACTGTTCTGCTGAGTGAGGGGGTCTTTTGCACTGTCGCTAGTTTCTCTTGCTATCTGTTCATGTTAACTAAGTAAACTCTTGCGGAGCTGAGAAATGGTACAAATGGCCCACTATGGTTATAGGAATTTACAGGTCTTCACAAGGTAGCCTGTGCAAGCATCATTGGGCTACATTGGGAGATCCCGCCAAACATGCCCCCAACAAGCCGGACTGTGCCTAAAACGCCCTAGATCATCTATGCCCACAGTTATGTGGCTTAATTACTTATTCGTCTGTTAATTCAACCGATTATTTCCTCCTGCTCGGTCATACTACCGCCTCTCCTGCTGGTAAGAATTCTCACCATCAGTCATCCTCCTACAGGCACTGAACTGGTCGATGGGGAGAGTTCTACTCATAATGTAGCGTGGTTTCCGGCATATTTAGCTGAAGGCTGTACCCCGTAGAGCAGTACCCAGCTATGAGATTTAGCGCAGCAGGACAGTGAAAGACCTTCGTAAAGCTCTTTGGAGGGATACTATACAAGCTACGCGGCCTTGAAGGGTTATAGAAGTCATTCCCTGAGAAGATATGATTGCCATCAGTTGTTTCACCCTGTCGTCGGTCCTTACCTTAGGAAATCGGTCTATAGTAGTCCTACGTCCTACCCTGCCCTCAAGGTAGGATCTTTACTTCTTCAGGGTAAGGACTGACTTTCACTGGTTGGCTGCACCATCGCTGCTCGTCTTTGAAGGCTTCCCGTTTGCCTTCCCCTGTTCTCAGCGCGTGGGTAAATCGCCCTTACCGTCCAATGCGTAGTTGTGTGAGTTCAATCCCCCAGAAGTCAAACCAATTGGCTGCAGATTCAGCACTCGAATTTAACTCGGTGGCGATTTCGTCTTGGTGGGGGGAGGGCAATTCATGACACTCAGCGAAGCTTGTACAGGCATCCTTGTGAAAACCTGTAACCAAAGTGGCTCACTAATTACCATTTCGACAATTTTGCAAGGTCGTGACCGAGCCTTCACGAAGGGTCAGTGCGCGATGGAAATCTGTCGAGATAATATTAGATTGTCCGAACAGTTCTCAGGCGATTTTGGGTGTTTGCGATCTTTAAACGATCATAACTTTCTTAACACTCATGCGAATGTAATTAGAAATAGGGCACGCTAATCGATATCAGCCACACTTTTGGCCAATGT